AAGCTAAAGTCGGACGTTTAACTGACTGAGCCACCCAGGCGCCCCTAAATAAATAAACTTGGAAAAAAAAAAAGAAGTGGAGACTTGTTCCCTACACTTTCATTCTGAGGTGGTCTAGAACGAGCATTCAGTGCCTGTTGTATTACTTCCCAGTTTCAGACTCAAGAGACCTTGCACACCTCTGCTTCCACTCTTAGGCTCCTTCGACCTCCACGAGGGAGCCCAGACTAACCTCCTAGCAGATGAGAGACGATGTGGAGCAGAGCAGGTCAGCTGACCCATCTCAGCCAAGATCCAAGATGTGCAAAACAGACCCTATGAGCTCAGCAAAGCCAAGCTTCATCAGACCTTCGAGCGAACCCCTCAGCTGACTGCAGTCAACATACAACCAGGGCCAGCCAGAAACTGTCAGGCCCACATTGACTCAACGACGCATAAATGTTTATTGTTTTAAACAAACAAACCTAAAAAAGTGACACATGTTCTCTTAGAAGAAAATCCCTAGATCAGAAAATATTTCAGTTCTCTCCAATTCCAGATTTTCTATTCTTTCCTGCTACCAGGATGTGGTGATTCATTCAATCATTCATTCAATAGTTTATAGTGTGTGTGTGTGTGTGTGTGTGTGTGTGTGTGTCTTTTAGTGTAAGGCACTTTAATAGGTTTGGTGGGGGTATATGGTTGCGGAGCATAAGAAAACACAGATATAAGGTCGCCTGGCTGGCTCTGCTGGTGGAACTTGTACTCTTGATCTCGGGGCTGTGGGTTCAAGCCCCACATTGGGTACAGAGATTACGTAAAAAGAAAAAAAAATCTTTAAGTTTTTATTTATTTTAGAGAGAGAGAGAGAGCATGCACATGCACACGAGCTGGGGAGGAGCAGAGGGAGAGAGAATGAGAGAGAGGAGAAAGAGAGAGACAATCCTAAGCAGGCTCCATGCTCAGCACTGAGCCCAACATGGGGCTTGATCCCACAACCCTGGGATCATGACCTGAGCCAAAATCAGGAGTCAGATGCTCAACCGACTCAGCCACCCAGCCTCCTCTAAAAAAAAAAATCTTTAAAAAAAGGAAAAGAGGGGCACCTGGGTGGCTCAGTCGGTTAAACGTCTGACTTCGGCTCAGGTCATGAGCTCACGGTTTGTGAGTCCGAGCCCTGCATCGGGCTCTGTGCTGACAGCTCAGAGCCTGGAGCCTGCTTGGGATTCTGTGTTTCCCTCTCTTTCTACCACTCCCCTGCTCGTGCTCTGTCTCTCTCCTCTCTCTCAAAAATAAACATTAAAAAAATTAAATAAAAGAAGTACAAAAAGAAAAGAAAAGAAAAAGAAAAAGGTCTGATTTATAGTTTAGTTTGGAAGGAAAGGGAGCCTGGTCTGATAAACTACCTACTAAATTTGAATTCCAACACCAGTGGGATCAATTTACAGCTGTGTGACCTTTGGATAGTTACTTAACCTTTCTGAGTTTCAGCTTCCTTATCTCACAAACAGGAGTAAAACCTGGCTTTCAGCACGGTGGACAGGGTCCAAAAAATTTACAAAGTGCTGTGCCCATGGGTCAGAATCATTTTCCACCTCCTGACTTTGCTTGTTCGTATCTCAGGTGGGTACTGAGCACGTACCCCAAGGAGAGACCTTCAGGTCAGGGTCTCCCCAAGGAGCGATGAACCTTCCAGAATGAGCAGGTAGGGGCCTTTGCTTTCAACAACCGCTCCCATAGGAATCAGCCCAGACAGGAAACGTGGCATCTTCCCAGCGGCCTGCAATTGACTTTTGCCCCCTGTGAAAGGGAACGATGTGCAAAGATCACCCTGCAAATCAGGCCTGTTGGGAAGTGGTGAGCTCTCCGTGTCCACAGAGCTACAGGTCATCTGGGTGGCCCTTGTCTGGTTCTCAGCCTCGGCTGGGAGACTGAGCTGCAAGGAAGGCCTTTGACCTGGGACCTGCCCTCCTGAGACTTCGCCCCAGGAACAGTCCACGGTACACGGGGGAGCAAGTGTGAGAGCAGAAAACAAGGTGATAGGTGAATACAGGGGAGGGGACAAGCCAGGAGTACCTCTCATGTCTTCTTCCCGCCTCTCTGAGAATTCCGACGTCCGCCAGAACGTGCGTGGACGAGAGGACGCTGACCAGTTGAGGCATTAGGGAGCCGACGTGCTTGGTGATCAGAATCCATCCGGTGCCAGTCCGGCCAACGTTTACCGAAGCTGCATCACCGCACGCCGGAGAGAGAGGAGCCGGACTGAAGGCTGAGGGCGGGGAGCCTGGCTGCAGTACCCAGCTTGGCCAGTGATTGCACGGCCCCCCTCCCCACGCCTCAGTTTCTCCTCATGACCAGGGTGTTCACTGAGAGGGGGGATGGGGAAGCCAGATGCTACAGGCAGCAGAAGTCCCTGGAGCAGGAGGCAGCGGTGATGTGGTGGCTTTGATGGCCTTAGGAAATCACTCACTCTACAGAAGCAGCTCAGGCAGGACTAGCTTGACTGAGGTTAAGACCCTGTCAGAAAATCAGGGCACCTGGGTGGCTAGGTCTGTTGAGCGTCTGACTCTTGATTTCAGCTCAGGTCATGATCCAGTGTCGTGGGATTGAGCCCAGCGTCGGGCTCCGCACTGAGTGTAGAGCCCGCTTAACATTCCCTCTGTCTCCCTCTCTACCCCTCTTCCCTGCTCGTGCTCTAAGGAAAAACAAAAAAGACCGTTGGGGCGCCTGGGTGGCTCAGTCGGTTAAGCGTCCGATTTCAGCCCAGGTCATGATCTCACCGTTTGTGGGTTCCAGCCCTGCGTCGGTCTCTGTGCTGACAGCTCAGAGCCTGGAGCCTGTTTGGGATTCTGTGTTTCCCTCTCTCACTACCCCTCCCCCACTCATGATCTCTCTCTCTCTCTCTCTCTCTCTCTCAAAAATAAATAAACATTAAGAAAATTAAAAAAAAAAAAAAAAGACCCTATCAGAAAATCAAATCTTCCTGTAGGGCACATGCCTGATGAAGCTCTTGTGGAACAGGGATACATCCAGAAACCAGTCCTCCTGTTTGGGTTGACAACACTGTAACTAGGAGGGGGGAAGAAAGGGGTACAGACACATTTGGCAGGTAAATAGGGACAGGGGACTGAAATAAAAACGGGATGAGAAGGGGAGAGAGGGAAAAAGGGAGCTAGAAGGGCTAAAAATTGGAAGGAAGGGGTGCCTGGCTGGCTCAGTCGGTTAAGCGTACAACTTTCGGCTCAAGTCATGATCTCATGGTCCGTGAGTTCGAGCCCCACATCGGGCTCCGTGCTGACAGCTCAGAGCCTGGAGCCTGCTTCAGATTCTGTGTCTCCCTCTCTCTCTGCCCCTCCCCCACCCACATTTTGTCTCTGTCTCTCAAAAACAAATAAACATTAAAAAAAAAAAGGAAAAAAATTTTAAAAAAATAAATAAAATTTAGAGGGAACATTAGCGAGTCAAAGAGCAGAAGGCAGACATGAGAAAAACACATTGAGACATCTTCAGGGATGCAAAGAACATTCAGTATTAAAATCTATCTTTTTAAAAAAATGTTTATTTATTTTTGAGAGGGAGAGAGAGAGCGCACGCATGAGCAGGGAGGGGCAGAGAGAGAGGGAGACACAGAATCTGAAGCAGGCTCCAGGCTCTGAGCTGTCAGCACAGAGTCTGACGTGGGGCTTGAACTCATGGACAGTGAGATCAGGATCTGCGCCAAAGTTGGAGGCTTAACCCACTGAGCCACCCAGTTGCCCCTAAAATCTATCTTCTTACAGGCATCTGGCTGGCTCTGTCAGGAGAGCATGAAATTCTTGATTTGGGGGTTGTGAGTTTGAGTCCCTTGCTGGGTATAGAGATTACTAAAATAAACAAAACTTTAAAAAACTACTAAATACGAAATTGTATCTTCCTATTTGTCTGTCTCGTCAAGCTGTAGGTTTTGAAGGCAGGCACTAAATTTAAGTTATCTGTACACTTTCGGTGCTTAGCATAGTGCCCGACACGTCCTAGGTATTCAATGAACAGATAATTAGATATTTAAGAAAAGTCAGGATTTTAAGACAGAAGGGCACAGAGCTATAAGAGAGTAGCTCTGAATTTTCAGAGTTAGAAACGTGCTTTCAAATCCATTTCCTAACTGTGTGACTTCAAGCGAGACTTCATCTTTCTGAAGTTTTCCATATGAAGTTGTGGCAAGCGTTAAAGGTCTGCAAAGCTCAGAGCAGATTGCCCGTGTAAGCTCCCAACATTAGTGACTGTTAGTGTCGCAGTTGTTTGCAGACAAGGGACACGGGAACTGTGGTAAATGCAGGTCACCAAGAGCCCCCGACTCATGGCCTTGTCTGGAACTTTGTAGTGCCTTTCCATTCTCACGCTAGATGCAGGCAAGTGACTTGCTCTGGCTGATGGTAAACTTGATGCAAAGGTGTGGAAAAGACTGCTCATTTCTGACTCTTTCTTGGAACCCTGCCTGCAGGAAGGATGTGGGAGACCTGCAGAGGAGAGCCAAGGTATCCCAGTGGAATCCATTATAGATCGGTCATCCCCCAACTATTAGAGATGCATGAACAAGTCCCGGGAAGATCAGCCAGGTCGGTAAGACCACTCCTCCACTCCCAAGACTTAGGTGAAATAATAAGTGGTTGCTATTTTAAGCCACTAAGTTTGGGATGATTTGTTACCCAGCAATACTAGCTGATACAGGGGCCATGGGAGCCCTTGTCCTCAAAAATTGAAAGGCAAATAAGAGAGGAAGTCATGGTCTGCCAGGTTTTATTTGTAGAGTCTGGTGAACTTGAGCCAGAGAAAGCTGCAAACAAGTGTTTTGGGGAGCCATAGGGAAGGGACATTAGATGTAGGTCCCTCAGCAGACCCCGAGGGCACCCTTCACATGGAGGCAGGGAACACACGAGGCGGGAAGTGGCTGGAGGTCAGTCCAGGCAGGCAACAGCAAGGCTGCCACCAGAAGGGCGAGGCTTGAGGGGGAGGGCTTGCCTTAGCCTGGTGGCCTGCGGGTCTCAGATCCTGGGGTCATACACCCGCCCCATGAAGACAGGGAATTTGTGTTGCTGGTCCCAGATCAGGAAGAGGAAGGGCTGCTGCACTTCAAAGACTAGCAAATTGCGGGCCACGGAAACAGCCGAGGCCGCAGCCGCCTCCACCCCGGACTCCGTCAGCTCCAGCACGGCCTGGTGCTGCATCGCAGAAACCTGAAGATCCGTGTCGTCTGTCAGCCCGCACAGGTTGAGGTCGTAAATAAAGTCAAAGAATTCTAGAGCAGACCAGAGAAAAACAAGGAGTCAAAGACCAGCAGGAGGGACGCCTGGCTGGCTCAGTCGGTAGAGCGTGCAATTCTGGATCTTGGGCTTGTGAGTTCGAGCCTCACATTGGGTGTAGAGATTATTGAAAGAAAGAAAGAAAGAAAGAAAGAAAGAAAGAAAGAAAGAAAGAAAGAAAGAAAGAAAGAAAGAAAGAAAGAAAGGAAGGAAGGAAGGAAGGAAGGAAGGAAGAAAAGAGAAAGAAAGAAGGAAAGAGGAAAGAATAAGGAAAGAAGGAAAGAAATGGAACAAGCAAGAGAAAGAGAGGAAGGAAGGAAGGAAGGAAGGAAGGAAGGAAGGAAGGAAGGAAGACCAGAATGAAAGCCTCAGCTGCTGAAGACATTTGTCCTATATTGTCTGGGTTAGAACCAAGCCCCAATACTCTCTTCGTCCACTTCCCTTGCTTGTCAAATTATATATTGTGCCTTCTGGTCCACTTTCTTACATCCTGTATCAGTGGGCTGATCTTCACTCCAACCACCACCCTCTCCGAAGAGGTGAGAGGCCTTGCCACACCCCCCCACCAAAGAACATTGAGAAATGATATTCTTGCTTCCTTGGACCTTAGAAGTGAGGTCATACACCAGAAAGAGGTCATATGTTACCAAATGAGGTCATATACTAGGAAACAAGTTCACCTATTAGAGGGTTCTATAACAGAAAATGAAATGATATATCTGGACATGAGGTCAAAGATCCGGAAGTGAGGCCAAAAGTCAGGTAAGAGATCTCTGTTGCCTCCCCTAAACTCAGAAGCCTCCAGACTCTATTATGCAGATAGCTTCTTGCATAGTCCATGGGGTGGCTGCGTGTTATGAAAGGTCCCTGGGGAAGGAGCATCCATAACCCATCCTGGGCACCTGTCCCGGTGTCTATGACACGATGAACCAGAGTAGGAATAGTCGAGATGGAGACCTGGGTTGATGTTCTTGTTCATTTCTAATGAGCTCAAGGGACCTTGGGTGAGTCATGTAAACACCGAGTCTCAATTTCCTCAATGATCCAATGGGATGATAGCATCTTCCCCTCTAACTCACAGGACTGAGGAATAACCTGAGATGACGGAGGTATAAAATATCCTAGAGAGTGCTAAACCACATCCTAAGGATACCCTCCTCTCCACCCCAATGGCCTCGGAGTAATCCTGAGCTGCCAGAGCTTACTTAGGTTCTCCACGACCGTCAGTAGGTCTTGCTTGCTCGTCACTTTGATGCGGGGTAGCGTCAGGAGAGTGGGCTGGAATTTGGTCATCTCCAGCTTCTTCATGACAGCCTTGAAGACAGTGGGGCTGAGAGCTCGTTCCAGGTCTTCAAGATGGTGTTTCGTGTTCTGGGGCACCAGGATCACCAAGCTGAGGTTGTGGGAGAGCTGCAGCTGCCCCACCTGGAGGGTAAGAGATGCGCCTTCTCAGCCTTCCGACCCTGGCTCTCCTGGCTCCCACCCCCTGCGTCCCGAGGCTTATCGTTGGTCTGCCGCCATAGTCTGTGCTACCGCAGCAAGCCGCAGCTGGACCGAGGCTCCCAAGCTTGGCGACAAAACGGGGAGGCTGGCTGGGTGAACGGTGCCGGTCTAGCTCTGTGAGTTGCATCTCTGGCGAGATGCAGAGAGAATGAGTATGGCTTTCTGATCACACAGGCGGAGGACTATACCCCGACTCTGCTGCTGACTAGCTACACAATATAGGCAAGTAAGTTGATCTGAGCCCTGTTCCCTTCCCCTCCACTGTGCTGTGCATAAAGTATATAACAGAGTCATCACATCAGTCCTTTTATTTATGTGTTTAATTTTTTTTTAATTTTTTTGAGAGAGAGAGAGAGAGAGAGAGAGAGAGAGCGAGTGCATGAGCTGGGGAGGGGCAGAGTGAGCGAGGAATCCAAAGTAGCTGTCAGCTACTTCTGAATGATCAGCAAGGAGCCTGAGATGGGGCTCAAACCCACAAACCATGAGATCATGACCTGAGCCGAAGTCAGATGCTTACCCAGGTGCCCCAAATGCTTATTTATTTTTGAGAGAGAGAGAAAGTGGGGGAGGGGCAGAGAGAGAGGGGAACAGAGGATCCGAAGCAGGCTCCGTGCTGACAGCAGAGTCCAACGTGGGGCTCGAACTCACGATCTGTGAGATCATGACCTGAGGCAAAGTCAGAGGCTTAACCAACTGTGCCACCCAGGTGCTCCAGATCAGTCCTTTGAAGGACGTTTTTAAAATTTTTAAGATATCTTTACACCCACCACGGGGCTTGAACCCACAACTGTAAGATCAAGAGTCACATGCTCCAAAGACTGAGCCAGTCAGGCACCCCAGTCCTTTTAAAGACTTTTGGTGGCTCTTTATTGTCTATGAGATTAAGCATAAATCTCTTCGTGCGGCATTTGAGATTGTGTACAAGCTGATCCTAGCCTACCTGTCAAGCTTGCCATTAAAAGGACTTCCAACTGGTGGTCAGACAGAAGTGTGACACAAGTACAGGACCCATAGGTCCAATATAGAGGGGCTCTCAACCCGGGGTGAATTTGCTCCCAGTGGACACTTGACAATGTCTAGACACATTTTGGTTGTGACAATTGGAAGGGAGGGGACCCACAGTGCTGCTGGCATTTAGCGGTAGAAGACAGGGATGATGCTAAAATCTACACAGTGCCCAGGATAGCCCCTCATAACAAAGCATTATCTAATCCAAAATGTCAATAGTGCCAAGGTTGAGAAACCATAGTCTAATAGGATGTAAGAGACTATAATTACAAGGGCACCATGGTTGAGGTTGGGATAGGAATGAGAAGAATCTAGAATGCATAATTCAACTGGGCAATAAAGAAATTAATGGAAACCCATCGATTGATGGAATGCAAAATAATGGCCCGGAAGAAACTGGCGATAAGCTGATATCAACTGAAGAACACGGACAAGGGCTCCCTGTTGGCATAGGCACTGAATAGGGCAGACTCATCTGGAAATGTATACCCTTCAGGTCCTGGGTACAGACCTTGAATCTCTTACCATAAGATTACCATGCTGTGGTCTTAAATTTTCAAGCCAGTAACCCTTCTATTCCTGAATTGGTAAATCTAACCTCCTTAGTTGGGTAAATGTTCTTGAGCCCAGTAAGCCTTAGAATTAAGTACGAGTTTAACAAAGTAAACCAACTCCATAGTATTAACATCAGAGTATATTCAGGGTGGTTGGTGTGTTCATTATTCAAAATGGTGTTTATAATTTTTAAGAAAACAGACATCGGGGCGCCTGGGTGGCTCAGTCAGTTGAGCATCCAACTTCAACTCAGGTCAAGATCTCACGGTTCGTGGGTTCGAGCCCCACACTGGGCTCTATGCCAACAGTGTGAAGCCTGCTTCAGATTCTTTCTCCCTCCCACCCTCTCTCTGCCCCTCCCCTGCTCATGCTCTTCCCCATTCTCTCTCTCAAAAATAAATAAATGTTAAAAATATAATAAATAAATAAACTCATAAGAGAATCAGACATCTTAGTTTTATGCTTTTAAGCAAAAAAAAAAAAAAAGGTGTAGGATAATTAAATTTGAGAATGATATTGAGATGTTGGTGGAAAGTTGATTTACTCTTCAAATTCAATTTTTACTTTACAGTAAGATTTAGGTGCTTGGAAAGATCCAGCCCACATGGGGGTTGTAATTCAGCCCTGATGGGTATCTGGCAGGCTTAAAAAGAAAATCAAGTATATTAAACTTATAAAGTATTTTTATAAAGCAAAATATATGGACAAGCTCAAATTGCTTGTGGAAATATGAACCATATTTGTAAATGGAATAAATGGTTTAAAGGAGTTTAATCTGGCGGCTCCTGGGTGACTCAGTCAAGTGTCTGACTTGGTTTAGGCTCAGGTCATGGTCTTGTGGTTCATGAGTTTGAGCCCCACGTTGGGCTCCACGCTGACAGTGCAGAACCTGCTTGGGATTCTCTCTATCTCTCTGCCCCTCCCCTGTGCATGCTTGCTCTCTCTCTCTCTCTCTCTCTCTCTCTCAAAAACAAAAACAAAAACACAAAACCAGAAACTTCTGGGATCCATATTCAATCTTCCCACCCTTCCCATCCGTTGATGTTTTACCATTCAATTTCTGCTAAGGAACATATGCCATTTAACACATGCACACACGTGCACTTACCACGCACATGCACACACAGCTATACCTACCCATACCCATGTACATCTACATACGCATGCTATACACACGACTTAACTAAGCCACCAGGGTCTCCTGGTGGGTTGACGAGAAAAAGAAACAGATGAACAGACTCACTTTTTGACCTTCGATGCAGGGGAGATGAAGAAACTTTTAGAATCCTGCTTTCCAGCCTAAAATAAACCATGCCTGCCTCGGCCAAGCTAGAGAGGGGAAAAGCAGAAAAGATAGGGTGGAAATACAGATGGAAGGAGGAGAAATGAGGACTTCATAAGGGTATGCCCCACACTGATGGGGGCCGTGGCATAAAAGACACCAGGACCTGCCAGAGGCTCTGAAACGAGAGTGGGAAGGGCCCAGAACATACCTTGGCTTTCAAAGTTGGGTCAGTGAAATGGGCCACCGGGTATTTCTTGCTGTTCATCATGGATGCTTTTATCACAGAGGATTTGAGGTAAAAGGGCTCCATCCTGGTTCTTTTTGGATCAAAGGTTGTCTTCCACTTGGCTAGAGGGAAGGGGAAGGAGAATTACTCTAAGCAGGTGGGCAAGGGATGACGAGGAGCTCAAAGCCCTGTTGGCAAGGGGTGGGCCGGGCACAAGGGGGTCCAGCTGTGGAACTTGGGGTTGCGTGGGCTTTCAAGGCAGGAAGAGGGAAAGGACTCAGGGCAGAAAGACCGCGTGGCTCAAGGCTCCCTTACCACTCAGGTAGACGGCGTTGAGGAAGACCAGGCAGGTGTCAGAGGGCAGGCTGTCCAGCAGCTGCGTGATCTTGTGGTTGGTCTTCTCCGCCACCCAGGTGTTGATGAGCTCCGTATTGACATCACTGTCGTTTCCCAGGACTGTGGGTCTGCTGCCATAGAGGTTCTGAGAGGCATTCACAAAGGTGTCTCTTACGGCCAGGTCTGGGGGGCGGGAGGCAGGTGGAGAGAGGGAGGCATGAGTCCCCTGAACATCCTCTGCCTTCTAGGAGAAGGCTGTGAGAGGGAACGCGTTTCCTATCGCTCTCAGCTCGCCGCAGCGAACGCGGCAGGCTGGAGCAGGGGGCCAGCCCGCTCCTCTTACAGACACGACAGTGGAGGCCCCGAGAAAGCCAGCCCTGAACTGAAGGCAGGACCCATCCGAGGCCCTTGCTGTCTCTCCTTGCCGTGTGGTTGTAGCTCGGCAAAATAACTCTTCTGAGATACTAACTTCCATTTGCCAGTGTTTTCCCTATTCTCTCCCCTGAATTCAGCAGGGAATGGACTCTGCTTCTCGGTGTCAGTGGAAATCCGGTGAGATTTCCTGGCTTTTCTTCTCTAAAGTTCAAGTCCACTAAAGAAAATAGTGTTTGGGGGAGCCTGGGTGGCTCAGGCGGTTGAATGTCCGACTCTCGATTTCGGCTCAGGTCATGATCTCACGATTCGTGAGTTTGAGCCCTGCCTCGGGCTCTGCGGTGACACTGCAGAGTCTGCTTGGGATCCTCTCTCTCTGTTCCTCCCCTGCTTGTGCTCTCTCTTTCTCTCTCAAAATAAATAAATAAATAAATAAATAAATAAATAAATAAATAAATAAATA